CTGGCTGGATAAATGCAGAAAAAATACATTTCAGTGAGGATTTCATCAATAAAAACATAATAGAAATAATTTGGAAATGTAGAAATTCATGCACAAATCCTTTCACAAGAAGATAAAAAGTTCCCTTTTATTTATAAAGCAGCAGATAGTTTTTCATCATTAAATAGGTTGAAGCCAGTGGGAGAATTTTTTCTAAACCAAAATAACTATTTTCCAATAATCTCTTATACGCTCAAATTCTCTATGAACCTCAGGGGGGGAAAGAAGTAGGACAGAAAAAATTTAGACTACTTTTATAATTTTAAGGAATTTCTTTGTTTAAAAATTGAAATCATACAAATGATAAAATATGAGTGTGTGTAATGAATAATGATTACAGGAAGGTCATATGACATATTAGGTCAGCAACACTCTGCATGTGTTCAGTATGTATTAAGTAAATATAATAAAATCTCTGTCTGTGTAACTTGCACTCACTCAGATTGACATCTTATACTTGTCAACATGCAGGGTACTATAATATAATTTCGTGTAACATATACAGGCTATGCCATTATCAATACTGAAATAAAACGCAATCCTTCAAGTGATGTCAAGAAACACAGATAGCTGATCTAGTGCTCATAGCATAGCAAAATGACTAACGATTCCAGTTTTCATCTACATCTTAGGTATTAAAAGGTCAGTGAATATCAGCCTAAAGATATTGTAAAAACATTGAAACATTTAGTTATAACATTAATTTATTTAAATGTTAAAATTCCACAATATGAGAACAGTAAAAGTATTTTCAGAATACCTTGAAGTATAAGAAAATGCCAATATGACTCAATCTATCAAAACAGGAAGAACGCATTCTTTATTTCATTGTGAAGTCTAACTTCTCCCCCACATAAAGGTAAGCGAGCATGCCAAATGAAGAAACTCATTGTGTCTGATTTTTTTAAGCAGAAGCTATTAGATATTTTATTTACAGTTATCTGAGTGGAAAATGAGTTTAAAAAGGAGGAGGAAATCTATTTATCAATATCCCCAGCTCATCTCACTATTTATTATTTAGAGGTTTTATACCCACATAAAAAAGTTATAATCACTGATATCATATCTATAAACTGAGGAAATGTAGTCTTTTAACATATTCTTCTTCAGCTAAACAAAGTTTGAGAAGAAAGAACAAAATAGAAATTATGAATGTCTATATCAATTCATAAGAGGCCCTTGTTAATATCATTGAGAGTTGGGAAGGTTGCTTTGTTTAAATCTATGAAAAGGTGGCCAATATTTTAGAATAAATAGAGAACTAGATTGGATAGGACATTATCATTCAAAGACAATTAAAAATAATAGAAACAAAATTAATCTTATTTTTCAAAAAGTTTTAACTTTCATTGCAATTATGCATTAATTCTTTTTTAAAAAATTATCTTTATTATTTATTTTGTGTTTCTTTTCCCCATTAACCCTCCTCCTCCCTGCACCTGCCCTCCCAAACCTTTGCCACACTATTGTCTCTGTCCATGGGCTATGCACATATGGATATAAGTTCCCAGTCAATCTCTTCCCTCCACCCCCCATTCACAAATCAATAAATGTGATACATCACATAAACAAATTGGAAGACAAAAATCATATGATCATATCAATTGACAGAGAAAAGGTATTCAACAAAATCCAACACTCTTTTTTGATAAAAACTCTCATCAAAGTGGGAATAGAGGGAGCATATCTCAACATAATAAAGGACATATATGACAAACCAACAGCCAACATCATACTCAATGGGCAAAAACTAAAACCATTTTCCCTAAGAACAGGAACAATTTCGGGATGTCCGCTCTCACCACTATTATTTAATATAGTACTCGAAGTACTAGCCTCAGTGATCAGACAAGAAGAAAATATATAAAGAATCCAAACTGCCAAGCAGGAAGTAAAACTGTCATTATTCACAGATGACATGATATTGAACACATGCATTAACTCTTTGAATGAACAGGCTTGATTGTGTAGTAATAATCCAGTGTTAGCTACTGCTTTTTGTGATAAAATTGTTTGATGAACAATATTACTCTTTCAATGTTAAGATTAAGTCTAATTTCTGCAAAAATATCATAGACATTTTCCAAAGGTTCACTCATAATTCTTATCTACTCAAATAATTTTACTTTAGGATTTTCATAATTTTTACTTTTACCCATTTCAAATGATATTGTCAGATGTTTGCAACATCCAGTAGTCAGAGAAACTGACGCATAAATATTTAACATAAATATATAGCAGGAGTCATACATACATAGCAGGGTGTTTGAAATGGGACTATTTTCTAAGTGAGCACCTCCCTTAGTAGATGGTCTAGTGTTTGGTACACTTTTACGTCCCTGGGCAACCTCATAGTTACTGAAGTTGGGATGACGATATTCAGATAGCTAGGGTTCCTTCCTCCATTATTATATGTAACATTAACTGTGTGCTCCGCTCTTGATGGATACATAGCTACACGCTGTATATTAAAGTAACAGACCTGATGCAGGAATTTTTCACCTGGGATCCGTGGAGATATGTAGGGGGTCCTTGAAATCTCTCTCTTTTTAAATATGTTTTTTATTGATTTCAGAGAGAGTGAAAGAGAGATAGAAACATAAATGATGATAGAGAATCATTGATTGGCTGCTGCCTGCATGCCCTCTCCCCCCAAACTCTCCCGGGGCTCGAGCCTGCAAACCAGGCATGTACCCTGACCTGTAATCAAGCTGTGACCTCCTGGTTTATAGGTAGACACTTAACCACTGAGCAACAATGGCCAGGCTAAAACTACTTTGTGCATGCATATTTTTGACTGTATATACAATTCTGTATTTTTCTGGAGAGAAGGTATATAACTTGTGACACAGAACCACTCTTACTAAATCTTTAAAAAATCATTAGCCATTTTATAATCTCCTAATAGCTATTATAATCTGCAAGTAGCAACAAATATTGATTCTCTTTCCAGGTCTCTTTTGTCCAGACTCTACCACCTGGTGTCAAGTTATTACAATTAGCTAAGATATAAGAAATGGATTTCAGGGCTAGGTAGTATAGTATTTTGAGTGGAAAGATGATAATGGAGTAATGACATCATCCATGCAAGTCTTTTCAGAGTATGAAGAAAAGATAATAATGGATAATATGAGAACAGAAATTAGCCTCGATCTAGGCATGATATGTTTTCCATTGACCCAAAAACATTTTGCTTCTCTATAATTTTCAATGTTAAATTATCACTGCAGGTAGAAAAGTCTAATTTTGTCATAAAGTTAAAAGTATATAATCTTCTCCAAAATATTCTTGTGGAAGTATATCTTATTGCTCTCTTTCACATAGCATATTATAGGTGAATTTATCTATCTGGTTTTAATGCCTGTTCCTATAAATTAAGAATTATTTTTTCCATGTCAATGAAAATTAATTATCCAATCTTCAAGCTAATGTTATAAACTAAGCCTGAGATAATTATTATACCATAAGGATGCAATGCTTTCCCTCTTTCATCATCATTAGTCTCAAATTTTGTGATGATGTATATTTTCCACATGAGTAATACTTAAAATACTCTTTGAAAAATTTATCACCAAGTTGATATGCATGAAAGATTACATCTCAATCATGTTAGTAACATGCCAAAGCATTTAAATTTTTATACTTCTACCTCCTAATAAAATATTAGATTTCTACTATGTCATTTCATCCTAGTTTTCAAGGGCTTTCACAACTTGTTGATAATATTACTTTTCAGAACTCCCCAACAAGCATCTTCTAGGGTGGCCAGGTAAATGTTCCATTTCTAATAATGTCCCATTGGGATACTTCCACTTATTTTCATCTTTATCATTTGGTTAATATCATTGCTCTACCTTCACTTCCCTTCACTCAATATATATTTTTAAAAGAAGTTGAATTATGTTCTTCCCATAGACTTTTGTGATTCTCCAAACTTCATCCACTTTCATTTTTCTGACCCTTTGTAATCTTTACCCTATATTACTCCATGCGGGCCTTAGTTCTATATGTTGTTTATCTTTTTTTTGTTGTTTATCATGTTGTCTTTTAACTCCATGATGGGGTAAGACCGTATCATCTTCTTATCTGTTGTACGTTTTCACGGGACTTTTGAGTATTGCTCAATAAATACTCATTGATCAGATGAGCACTCACAGAGGTGCAACATAGAACAATGTATTTGGTCAGTCAGTTCCCAATCCTAAAACAAACTCAAGAGAGAAAAATTTGATTAAAACATCATAAAATATAAATAAATATAAATATTCTTAACAAATAATAACAAAGCTAGCAAAAATCATAGAGTACTGTAAGTTCTATGAGAATAGAACTTTAGCTCAGAGCTGAATGTATGTTTCTGTTTTATAAGTTATTTTGTTACTTGGCAATCCAATTTTCAATATTTTGTTAATTTGAAGCAAAACTGTATCAACAACTAATTATTTTACATTCCATACTGGACATCGTGATAAATTGTAAATACCTGAAAAATTGTCATAGGAGCAGGACCCTTTTTAAAGTTCATTTGCTGATTAGATTATCCAACATCTCTTCTTGATGAAAAAAATTTGGAATGTGATTTTTTTATGCAAAATAGTAAAGCAGAAAAGTGAAGAAAAAACACATACTACCTGCATTGTGTACATGTATGTTGGGGTATGTCTTGCGAAGGGACAAAAATTCGAATCTATATTCTTGAGGAAGGTATTCCATGTGCTCCTTTTTCTGAATGGGAGTGTCTCCATGAATATGAAAAGATACTTTTAGAATTTGTGCAGACAAACAGACTAAAGAAAGTAGCATACACTTTTAGAAACAATTTTTAAATAAGTATTTGTATTTTATTGTAGAAAATTCTAAGGTTTAGTGTAGATTCACTTTTCAATTATGAGTGATAGATAATCTGTCTTTTAACGAGACAGTGGAGAAAGGCAATAAACTACCATATCTATTGATCATGATTCTTGAAAACTGTTTGAAGAGTTAAAAAGGAAGGGGATATTAGTGAGTAACTAAGGAAATGTGTGTGTATTTCTGAGGTTTCCTCTTTGCCGTCTGTTAGTGTGTCAAGTAGAGAGCTATTTCCAGAAAATAAAAGTTAAGCACATTGGACTCTGTAATCAACAAGGAAAAAATCTTTTTTAGCCCTCAATAATTCTTCAGCACCGTATGTCTTCTTCCTGTAAGTTCATTATATTGTTGTTATTTCCTCCATCGGTTTTTCCTGAACAACGTAGTCCTTTCAGAAAAGTGGAGCCAAAGCAATATATGAAACAAAGAACATAATTGCATTGCATCAGCATGGAATTGTTTCCTGGTTGATTAATTGAGTGTATGTATTTTGTTATAACTCATCGCCATCATCTGAGCTGAGACTGCTCCTCCTACTGCTCTCTTTGGAAACTTCGGGGGAAGTGGCAGATAGGAGAGGGTCTGTCCCAAAAGGAGATAAGGTGTCCAGTAGCATGTCATCCAATCTTTGTTCCTCTTTTGAAGCAGCACTGAATGACAGATCTGTGAAGTGTGACAAAGGATCGGAGAAGGACAAAGCTTGGTCACAGAACTCAGGGCTTAGTCCCTGCAACTGAGTCGACTGTTGGCAGTAGTCTACTGAATTCTGCTCAAGAGGGGTCTGTTTGTTGGCATGAGCACCCATATCAGTTGTGCCAAGTGAAGCCAGGGATGGAAGACCATGAGCACGAGCCTGTATTTCTAGTTCCTGCAATTTCAAACAAGAATGATTAAATAGTGACTTTGAAAGTGGACTTAACTCAAGCCTTAGCTGGTTTTGCTCAGTGGATAGAGCATCCGCCCACAGACTGAAGGGTCCCGGGTTTGGTTCTGATCAAGGGCACATGCCCGGATTGCAGGCTCGATCCCCAGTGCGGACATGTGGGAGGCAGCCAGTCAATGATTCTCCCTCATCATTGATGTTTCTATCGCTCTCTATCTTTCTTCCTCTTTGAAATCAATAAAAATATATGTATTTTTAAAAAGAAAGTGGACTTAATCTACATGATAAATAATAGAACCAAAATATTAACAAGTATTCAAAATGAAGAGTAATATAAATTATAAACATCCTTGCAAATAATAGAATTTGCTGTATTTCTATTGACTAAAAAAATAACCCTCAAAAATATGCAGATTTAAAAAAAAATTCTCCTCCCCTTGTTCCATAAGGGAATACACTATGGTCCCATAGTGACTCAGACTACATTTGAAGGGAATAGAAAAGCTTCCTTTTTTTATTTTGTTAGTCATCACCCGAGGATATTTTCTGTTGATTTTTAGAGAGAGTGGAGGGGGAGGGGAAGAGACAGAGACAGAGAAACATCAATGTGAGAGACATCAATTGGCTGTCTCTCACACACACCTGACTGGGCTGGGGACTGAGCCGGCAACCGAGGTATGTGCCCTTGACCAGAATCAAACCCATGACCCTTCAGTTCCTGGGCTGATGCTCTAACCATTGAGCAAAACCCTCTAGGGATTCCATTTATTTTTCCAGATTAATTTCTCACTATATTACAGTTCCATGGAAACAAAGTAAATGGTTTATCTGGCTATAAGCATACTCATTTAAAAAAAAAACAACTTGAGAGTTATAAAAACCCATACTTTCATACTTTAATATTTTGTGTCACATGAACAGATGAGGAGTGACAATATAAAACCTGCACAATAATGGCTTGAGGCAATGGAATCCATGCAGTGTTGCTAAAGACATAAAAGGGGGAAGGAAGAATATACTGTCCAGTATTATGTAGAGAAGCACATGTTCTAGTTCATTATTATTATTTGGCTGAAATAGTATCATGGGCATTTATAAAATTCATTCTATGTTCTGCATTTTGTAATTAGTTGTCATTCATTCTATTTTCTTAAAGTCTTCTCAACCCCAGATTTCTAATCAAAACCTAACTGAAACAACCCAATTCATGAACTTCTAAAAGACAATAAAGTTATCCTCCAGGAGGAAAAAAATAATTATTAATAAGAAAAAAGTAAATGAGACCAATGACTAAAAACGATGACAAGTCAGTCCTAGTTAAGCTGCGTGGTTTGTGGCAACATTCTGATAGCAACCTGAATCCTGAGCAGAAGCCGCCTGTTAGCCTGCTCCAGTTTCTTCTGTCTGAGCTCTAATTCCCGCGCTCTCTGTTGTTCTTTTTGTAGCCACTTGATGTACTCCACCGATGCTTTTAGAATGGTGCCTTTGTTCCAGCGCATATCACTGTAGAACAGAGATAACCTTTTCACAATTGTGCATGTCAGCAGAATTCATAAGAACTTAAAAATCTTTTACATTAATGTGAAATAATGATTTACATGACTATTATTCACTCTTAGATATTATTGCTTCTGAATAGAAATTTTAATAGAATAGTTAAGGAGCCCTTATATAGTAAAATTAATCCCAGAATGAAAATAAGTGTCAAAGGAAAGTAATAAAGTGACTTTTTGTGGGAGAGCTAAATGCAATATCATGATTCTACCATTACAGTTTTTATATTTTTAGTGAAAATTGCTTTTATTATTAACTCCAAGATTAAAATCTATGTGTGGTATTTCTGCATTAATGAACTAGGAAATGTACATTATTGAGGACTTAAGCCTAAATTTTTAAAGATCATTTCAAATGTACCTACTTTCTAATAAGGTTGCTTTTATGCTTCTAAGGAAAAAAAAAAAAAAAGTCCCTCCTGAATGGTGATCCTGAGTGATTGTGAAACAAATCAGAATTTGGCAACAGCATTTTATGCAATACAGCAAAACTTTCTAGAATTATTAAGCAAATTTTTCTGCACAAAAGTATCAATCCTTTTATAAAAAGCTGGATACCTATTTTTAAATAAGTTTCATATAAGTAAATACATTAAGCATTATCAGGTAACCTTTCAGGCTATAGCATAGAACAAAATTTACTTAAACATATTTATGAAATAGGAGGATGATAAATCTGAAATCACAGAACAAGTTATTGGTTTTAATATTGAAAACACACATCAGTGAATTTAATATTATCTGAGAGTTAATAATATTTGAGGAGAATGAGGCCAAACTAAGTGCTAAAAATCAACCTGAGTTTTTGGGAAACCTTGATGAATTTTCAATTTAGAGTCATGAGGTGTTTTAAATACAGTGGGGCCTTGACTTACGAGTGTCCCCACTAATGAGTTTTTTGAGATACCAGCTGTCTCTCGGCCGATTTTTTGCATTGAGTTGATAGAGTAATTTTAGTTAATAAGCTCCTTAACGAGCTCGGTCTTGGAACGAATTAAACTCATAAATCAAGGCCCCACTGTACAGCATATAGTGAGCAAGTAGGGAAATTTTAAAAAAATATTACACTGCATATATTTTTAGTTTATCTGACCTTAGTAAAATATCTTGAGCTCAATATATATTTACTAAGTGATCAGAAGTGGGAAAATAGACTTTAAGAAAAAATCTGGCTTGTATATGAATCATTGGAAGTTCGTGTTAGACAACATTTCCATTAATTTCAACAAATTAGAGGGAGCTGTATTTTTCTACCCACCAGGTGAACATGTTTCTTAGGGACTGGAGAAGCCTTCTTCTACTGAAATGCGCCCACCTACTCGGTGTCTATCTCAAGTTTGAAAATGCTTTGTCAGTTCTCTAGGGCTGTAATAGCTGTTGGTCTCATTTCTCTCACTAGTCACTTTTCTGGTGGTGCGAAGGCAGGGAAAAAGCAACTACTTTTGTCATTAAACCAAGAAAATATTTGTATCTGAAAAGTGTAGTGAATTAAAACTCTAAACAGTAGGGAGCCTCGTGGCCCTAATTTTCTTTCATTTATTCTCATGGGAAGAAAAAACTTGGACAGAGGAACTAAAATGGAAAAGATAACCTAGCTAACTTTGAAGTTTAAAGCACAGCTTACTTAGATCTAAAATAAATCTTCCAAATGGTGGTAGAGATCACTCAATGGGTCTGCCTTCAATGTCTACATGATGTAATCTGTACTCAATTTTAAAAAGTTCACTGTATTTTGAAGTCATTTTAAACATGAAGTTTCTTAATATATTTTAACTTTTCCAAAATTATTAAGGAGATGTGTACCTCTCTCACAAGACAGCTTTAAGAAGCCAGACATTAAAAACATCTTTATGACAGTAACACCAACACATGTAAAGGTTTGCCTAAGGAATGAATGTTGACACTGATTTTTCATTTTCTACAAAACAATTTTCTTTGAAGAACTTAAAAATTTTGAGGAACTTGAATGGATTTAACGCAGGCAACAGAAGTGCATACATTGAAGCAGAAGTATGGCCAGGCAAAACTACGAAAAAGGCATAATCTGTTTTCATCTTTGGATCTTTGGAATGCATATCCACTTCAAAACAATAAAACATTAAATAAAAAAGTGGTCAACATGACAGATTTGATTTTTCTTGCTTAGATGAGCATTGAAAAAGGCTTATTAGGTTTCATGTACTGCCTCAATTACCATCCTATATAATAAAAGGCCAGCCACCATAAGCATAACAACCAGAATGACCAGAGACCAGAATGGCCCTACCCCCAAGCAAGTGGTTAGGGGCAATCAGGCAGGCAGGCAGAGTAGTTTGGGGTGATCAGGTAGGCAGACCAGTGATTAGGGGTGATCAGGTAGGTAGACGGACCCCCACCGGGCTGGCCCCACCACCCAGCAAGCAGTTAGGAGTGATCAGGTAGGCAGGCAGGTGGTTAGGGATGATCAGGTAGGCAGATGAGGAGTTAGGGGCAATCAGGTAGGCAGATGGCCCCCAAGCAAGCAGTTAGGGGTGATCAGGCAGGCAGGCAAGTGGTTAGGGGTGATTAGGTAGGCAGACCAGTGGTTAGGGGCGAGCAGGTAGGCAGACAACCCCTCACAGGGCTTACCCCACCCCACAGCAAGCAGTTAGGGGTGATCAGGTAGGCAGGCAAGTGGTTAGGGGCAATCAGGTAGGCAGACTGCCCCTCACAGTGCTGGCCCCACCCCCCAGCAAAGAAAGAGGGAGGCTCAGGCCACCGGCTGCAACTCTGTGGCAGGTGTGTGGCTGGCCAGTGATCGCCCTGCAGAGAGAGGCCCAGGCCAGCCAAGCTATCGCACCCCACACCTGTTGATGGCAGAGGGAGGCCACCGGTGGCAGGGGAGAGGGGCCAGCGCTGCACAGATGACAAACAGTGGCAGCAGCAAGGGTGGGGCCAGCTGCCTGCAGCCAGGGGAAGGAAAGCCCCGATAGGCCCTATTCTCAGGCCAGACCTAGGGACCATACCTGAGGGGTCCCAGATTGTGAGAGGGTTCCCAGATTGTGAGAGGGTGCAGACCGGACCATTCGACCAGTAGCTATGATGTGCACTGATAACCAGGGGGCAGACACTCAATGCACAGGCTGGAAACAGGGAACAGACTGATGAATCTCAGAGGGAAGGGGGAAGCGGGGGTGGGAAGAGATTAACCAAAGATTTTATATGCACACTAGAGGCCTGGTGCATGGATTCATGAAGCAGTGAGGTCCCTCAGCCTGGCCTACAGGGTTCCAGTAGCTATGATGTGCACTGATAACCAGGGGGCAGACACTCAATGCACAGGCTGGAAACAGGGAACAGACTGATGAATCTCAGAGGGAAGGGGGAAGCGGGGGTGGGAAGAGATTAACCAAAGATTTTATATGCACACTAGAGGCCTGGTGCATGGATTCATGAAGCAGTGAGGTCCCTCAGCCTGGCCTACAGGGTTTAGGCCAAAACTGGCAGTCTGACATCCCCCAAGTGCAAGGGAACCCACCAGTGCATGAATCTGTGCACCAGGACTCTAGTTCATTTATAAAAGCAAGAGAATGTTATGACTATAGAGAAAAAGAAAGCAGTTTCATAAAAAATAAACCACTATAATTGGTTTTTCAATTTAAAGGGTAGAAAAAATAAAAATTTTATGGTATCATTAGAATAATTTATGTTTTGATATTTTCTATTTTTACTAATATGACTTTTTTTGCATCTGAAGTTTTTCTTTTCTTATTATCTTAACTTTTACATATGTCTCTTTTTTCCCCATTGACCCCCTCCCCCAACCATTCCCACCCCCAACAAACCCCCTACCCCTGCCCCAGAGCCTGTGTCCATTGGTTATGCTAATGTGCATGCATACAAGTCCTTTGGTTGCTCTCTAACCACCTCCCCACCTCACCTGCCATTTGTCTCTGGATCTATTCTTGTTCATCAGATTATGTTGATCATTATATCCCACATATGAGTGAGATCATGTGATGTTTATCTTTCTCCAACTGGCTTATTTCACTTAGCATAATGCTCTCCAGTTCCATCCATGCTGTTGCAAATTGTAAGAGTTCCTTCTTTTTTATAGCAGCTTAGTATTCCATTGTGTAGATGTACCACAGTTTTCTAATCCATTCATCTACAGATGGGCACTTAGGCTGTTTCCAAATCTTAGCTATGGTAAATTGTG